TTTTGAGAGATCTTAACCTTTTTAAGAACAATTTTTAAAATATTTAAAAGGCAGGATGGAAAGATGGCTCAGTGGTTAAGAGCACTGACTGCTCTGCCAGAGGACCCAGGTTCAATTCCCAGCACCCACATGGCAGCTTACAACTGCCTATAACTTCAGTTCCAGGGGATCTGGTACCTTCACACAGATATACATGCGGGCAATACACCAAAGCACATGAAATAAATAAAATTAAAAAAAGATATTTAAAAGGATAAAAATTAGGGTCACAGCCATAAGCTCCAAATACTAACCAGAAACTTGGATGTTCATTTCTTGTGATGCAGCAAGACAATGATCTAAGCAGTCTGGCACAGGGCTTCATACAGCTTCTGACTCCATGAGTCTCGACCATTTAGGGGTTGAAAACCTTTTTCCAGGGGTAGCCTAGGACCATCTGTATGTCATATGTTTGCATTGAGATTCATAACAATGGCAAAACTGCAGTTAAGAAATAGCATTGACAAAGTTGAGAACCAGTGACTTAGAGAATGTTTCTCCTTACCCAAGGTCCATTCAGGCTTAAGAATGTTGTCTACCCTCCTTGTCTTTGCTAAACTTGTTAAACAAGCTATTTAGATAAAGTGGATCACATATATGTTTTATGTTGGTAGTTTGGTTTGGTTTCTTTACTGAACTTGTATTTGATACTAGAAGAGCTTCGAATTAAAATCATTCTTTTTAAGGCTGCTTATTGTAGACTGTTAGAGAACATAAGTAAATAGTCATAAATAATCAAGTTTTTAAGTTGTAGTCAGGCTAAGTACTGACATAATTAATTACAGGGACAAGCTTTACTCAGTCCCTTGCATATGTTTTCAGGGTTGAGCTTGAAAGAAGTAACAAAGTTTGTCTATTCGGATACACCTAGACAGCCCTCATACTTCAGAGATCTCCAGAATATGGCACTTAAATGTTGATCTAAAAGCTCATTTTGTCAAACAGACTCCCAGATCTCAACAGTGACCCAAGGTCTCCAAAGAAGATTACGTATAAGGCACCACAGCATTTCTTCCTGGATTACGGCAATACTGATCATGGGGCAAGATGCCCAATGCAACATCTGCCACCAGGACCTGGCCCAGACAGTGGAGAAGCAGCAGGACACTGAAATTGATTTCACCTTTTGCCTGGACAAAGGAACATCAGTCTTCCCATGTCCCTCTTCCACAGAAAAAACTCTGTCTTATAGGCCTGATGGCCAAAGGAGATTGATGCTGTTCTGACTGGGGCCTCCAATGCTATGGAAATTTGGTATAGATTGGTCCCTGTCATTTATAGGATTGGAAGCTGCTTGGTCTGCCCTCAGACAATTTATCCTTCTCAGATTTCGGATAGTACTGACAGTTAGGCTAGCTATAACTTTGTCAGCTAGGCAGCATCAGACAACCAGATCCTTCTGCAAGGCTATTATAGTCAGCTTGTTAGCTCATTGTTTTTTTTTTGTTTGTTTGTTTTGGTTTTTTGAGACAGGGTTTCTCTGTGTAGCTTTGTGCCTTTTGTGGAACTCACTTGGTAGCCCAGGCTGGCCTCGAACTCACAAAGATCTGCCTGCCTCTGTCGCCCAAGTGCTGGGATTAAAGGGATGTGCCACCACCTCCTGGCTTGCTACCTCATTTTTAAAAAAAGGGTTCTAAGATATAAAAGTTTAAATAAGTCATAAAGGTTTAAATATGGTTCTAAGAAAGATCTGAGGATATGAAAGGTTTGAGGATCCCAGAAAATGATTTAGATTATGAGAAATGTTTCAGATTGCTCTCCTGTTCTATGGTATAAGAGTTCAGAACTCAACATTTAATAGAGTTCTGATAAGCTGATAGAATAATGGCTACTTTCTGTTCAGTTACAAGCTCAACATTTTAGATTAATTTTAGTTGTCTTCTATAAACCTAGAAGTGCTTCTCCTCAATCCAAAATAAACATCCTGTCCAATTTATACTTGTCTGTCTGGACATATGGAAAATGCATATGCTTTTAACTAAAATTTGTAGTTCTTGTTGGGTCACAAAGGTATGAGTCCACTTCTGCTGTTTTACAGATACCCATCACCTGCTTTGTCTGTGATATGGATTTCAGTACAGATTGATAATACTAACTTATCTAAAATATTTATGTCATATTGTAAGATAGTTCCTGTATGCCTCAGAGGATTAAAAGAGTCATAAAACTTGGATCCATTTCACAGATGTCAGAAGGACCCCAGATGAGTACAGCTTATTTGTAAGGATGGTATTTTTTCTCTCTCTTGGCCTTGGGATCCCTGTTCTTCCCAGTTACTAAGGATGTGAGTCTTAGGGTTCCGAATAAGTTCATAAATTTTAACTTCTGTTCCTAGTTTAAGTTTGTCTCAACAGATTTCCCCTTGGAATGCAGACACCTCCAAGCTTCAGTTGCTGACTACACTGTTCTGGACGACTGTGAGCTCCAGACTAAAGCTGACATGGACCAGTCCAGTGGACCTGATTTGTTCCCTGTCTCTATGGGCTCAGATAGCCACACATTTCTGCCAATGCCCATTGCCCAGCCTTTGACTAGCCTTTTTGGGGCCCTGACAATGGTGCCCCAATGCCAGGTTGAAGCAGCTCCAGAAGAAAATATGTCATCCCATGTTCCCTGTCCAGAGAAGGCTGAAATGTTGGGTCAAAAGGACACTCCCTGGCATAGAGGCAAGATGGCCAACTATAATGCTCCTTGACATACCATGAAAATAGGTTCAGAGTTGTCAATTGATAAAGTTATTAACTGAAATGGCTCTGCAATAAGATAAGAGACTTGACATTCTTTGTGCAGAACCAAAGGGGTGTTACATAAGATTCTAATCTGGTTGCACTCAAAGATCAGAACTATAAGGCCTTAAGAATGAGAGTAGATAAAGATGTCACTGCCCTAGAAAAATCTGTTAGCTAATGGTTTGTAGGACCCCATGCCTTTGCATCCCTGGACAGGTAGGACTCATGACTGAGCCCTATCTTTGGTACCTGTGAAGGGGGGAATGTTGAGGGTCCTCAGCACAGCTTGACCACACAGCAGCCATGATAGGCTTAGTGGCCCAGACACAGATTCTGTGCCCGGCTTACTGGCAGGCAACCCCCAGATCCAGGAAAAGCCAAAAAATGACACCACCCGGGGATCCACTGAGGGATGAAGAAGTAACTGACATCCCAAACATGCCAACCATTAGATAAGGTGGCCAGATGTCCCTGAGTCTAGCACAAACCTATTGTTGTTTTACAGATACCCCTAGACAATTGTCAGCCAATCAGTGTCCTGGACCCTGGAAATTCCCTCATCCTAACCTCTGCTATGATAAAGACTCTACCCTTACTGAGCTTAGAGCTCTCTGCTGTCACCGCTGTGAAGGACAGAGACTGAGCTTGAAATAAAGGCTCTTTGCTTTACATGTGGAATTAGATCTCCATGGAGGTCTTTTGGGGGTTCCCATGATCTGGGCATAACATCTGGGAGATAGTGTGGATAATCAGTACACACCACCACAACCACAACTACACCTCACACCACCACCATCATCACCACATCCACTATATTCCTACTAAGGAAAACACTTAACAACCACTTAATATCCTACCAACTTCTTAGAGACACTGCTACTTCTCAGTTTGTGGAGCAGGAAGGAAGTAGACTCTGACTGAGAGTGAGAAAGCAAAAGAAACTCCATTTTAAAGAAAACTTCATGTCTAGAAATACTAAGATAAAACCTGAACCAAGTTTCAGAGACACAGACACACACCTAAGACTCTAGTCAAGGCTACTCCCTGCCTCCAGGGTGGGTAAGCTGCTGGCCAAGAAATAGCTAAAACAAAGGCTTAATCCATCAAAGTCTCCAACAGTACTGGGAGAGTCTCCAAATGTCTTTGGTTTTCTATAGTTCTTCTCTTGGCTAAATATTCCCGTTAACTGACGTGTGATCCTGTAATAGGAAGGCTTGTACCGCCTGATCTGCAGTTTTTCCCTTTAATACCTCTTCATTCTGAGAGCTCATGGCCGTCCTCTTTCACCTGGCTAGCCAGGGTATTGGACGTGGACCAGGCCGGGGTTACATTTTTTTGGGGGGGGGTTACATATTTTAATAAACCCCTTTGTACTTGCTCGGGATATTGGCTTTGTGGTGGTCTTGCTTGGGGGTCTCGCTACACAGGCACAAGAGGAGGCAGGAATACTGGCTGGGTTCTGTCCGCTTCACACAAAAATCACAAGGGAGAGGAAACTGAGAAATCACCTTCACCACTTTGTCCTGTGGGCATGGCCATGGGCCACATTCTTAAACACAGATAAGGCCCTTCCAGCTCCCTGTGGGCAGTGCCAGCCCTGGGCAGTGGTCCTAAGTCATATGAGAAAGCAAGCTGAGCAAGTCATGGAGAACAAGTCAGTAACTTTCCCCCATGGTTCTTGTCTCTGCTCCTGCTTGAGTTCTTACCCTGACTATCCTCAGTGATGAGCTTTGACTGGAATATGCAAGCTAAATATATCCTTTCTTCCTAAGATGTTTTTGGTCATGGTGAGGGACAGCAGGCAGCTGGATGGTGGTCCCACCACCCATAAAGAAACCATAAAGTGCCCTAGTCCATTGCTTTAGGCAGAGGAGGAGTGGCCTGTGATGGAGAAGATGAGCAGGATTCAGAAGATGGGTCAGGACAGAGTGGCCATTTTACTTTGGTCTCTCAGTTCCCAGCAGTCCTTATAAGCTAGTTTATGTTTGTCTCAAAGACAAGAAGAGCTTGACCTCTGGTTGAGAGACATGATCCTGTCCCCCAAATGGAGTGACTCTCAGGAACTGTGAGAGAGGAATGACTGGAGACGGTTGGAGAAGCAGACAGGAGCCTGCAGCCATGCTCTAGGAGTTGTCCTGGACAATGGTCCTAGGGACAATCAGCACTCAGGATCACAGGGAGCAATTCAGATCTCCTATCTATAAGGAGCCCAGTTAACACAGCAGTTTCCCAGGACTCCTTGAGGTCAACAGGCATGACAGGAACCTAGAGCCCTTCCCCACTCCCCACCATTACTACCTCCTCAGAGAGAGTAAGTCCATGCCCAGAGACCCCAAGGGGCCTCCTCCTACTATCTGGGAGTTCATATTTAAAGTGGCCTTTAATCAACACTGGAAGTAAACCCCTGGGCCAGGCCTGGGCCTAACAGGTTCAGGCTAGAGAGGGACCAAGCACTCTCCATGCCACGGATCTTCCTGCCTTTAGTACCCTGCTGGTCCCAAGAACAGAAGACTGTAAACATGGCTTTGACAAATCCCTAATGACTTTGCCTCTCTACAGGAGACCTGTTCAAAAGGTGCCTCATCCTCAACAAGCCAGAAATGGTTTGAGGTACACAGAAGCCAAGGACAAAGTCCACTGAAGACTGTGCTGGCTGTAATTTGTAGATGAGATAATATCCATCTGTCTGTCTGATCCACTGAAGCAAAAGCTGGTGGAGACTAACCTCATTTTGATGAGAAGGGGAAAGGTACCTGGGGCACAACATGAAGCCAGCCACTGTGGGCTATAGATAGCCTGCTATGATTGGTCCATTTCTCACTCTGACCTCACAAGGAGCAATTGTGAGGCATGAGGGTCCTGTATATAAGGCCGTGGGCTGGGCTGCAGCTCTGTCCCTACAGAGCAGGGAGCTGATTTAGGTGACCTGTGGGACTCTCATAGCTATCTGGTTAGTTGTTGAGCTGAGACTTTGCCACCACCTGTCTGCACGGGAGCACAGTGACCACCTAGCCTCATGGACTGCCACCCCAACACCAAGAGCCTGAACAGCCAATATATGGTCCTATTTCCCATCGGCCACGGTGCATTTGGCTCTGTGCAGCTGGCCTACCATCGCCTCACAGGCATTCCGGTGGCAATCAAAGTGATAGAAAACCTCGAGGAGGACCTCCGGTTCATCGTATCTGAGATGGTGGCCCTGGAAAGACTGCACCATCCCAACATCATTCGCCTCTTCCAGGTGCTGGTAACCCAAGAGCAAATCTACTTCATCACAGAGTTTGCCCCGGGAGGAGACTTGTTCCAAAGAGTGACGGAGGAGGGCAGGCTGCAGGAGGAAGAGGGACAGAAAATATTCGGGCAGATCCTGTCAGCCATCAAGTATTGCCATGACCTTGACATCGTCCATCGAGACCTGAAGCCCGAAAATATCCTCTTTGATGAAGAGGGCAACGTGAAGCTGGCAGACTTGGGCCTCGCCACCAGTTGTAGACCTGGAACTCTACTGCACCAGCAATGTGTGACCAAGAGCTTCAATGCCCCAGAACAGGTCCTGGGGTTGGGCTATGATGGGAAGAAGACAGATGTGTGGAGTCTGGGTGTGCTGCTGTATTTGGTCACCACCGGGAACCACCCCTTCCAAGGAGACACCATGGAAGAGATCGAGTGGAAGATCATCACAGGCACCTATGATATTCCAGCTCATGTCTCTGGGCAACTGGAAAATTTAATTCACCAAATGTTGACAGTTGCCCCAGAGAGGAAGCCCTCCATTGAAGACCTTCAGCAAGATCCATGGGTTATGAAGTGGAAAGAAAACATCCCAAGTGAAACTTTGTTAGATCCCAAGGTTTTAGACACACTCTCTGACCTCGGCTTTAATATGAATGATGTTTTGGAATCCCTGCAAAAAAACAGATATGATGAGTTGATGGGGACATACCTAATCATCAGAGAGCAGGCCCGGAAGGGGCTGCCCCTTGAGATCGGCTGTAACACCTCAGTCAAGTCTGTGGACTTTGGAGCTGTGCCTCCTGTGTCCCTAGTATATCCCTCTGTCTCTGGTCTTCCCCCCAAATGGAGGTCCAGTGAGCCCACCTTTGGCCTCCTCCACACCCAGCCCTCACACTAGCCCCGGCCTGTTGTGCTAGTAGCCCCAGGGCAGAAGGTGGCCAGAAGTGCCTCCATGCCTGTACATTATCCCCAGAAGCAGAGCCCCACTTGGAGCTGTGCCACCCTATCCAGAGGTGAGACTTCTCTCAGTGTATGCAGCAGCATATCAGAAGAGGAAACCACTCCATCCTCTGGAAATGACTCTGACATGGAAAATGCACTGAACCCTCAGAACATCGGGTGCTTCCAGAGACTGTGCAAGAGAATCAGGGCCTGCTTCTCCAGATTATGCTGCTTCTCAGGGGATCGAAAGACACAAGTCCAGCCCATGTTCAACAACAAAGTGGCTCCCGTGAAAGAGACAGGATGAAGAGCCCAAGGAATTGGGCATGCAGGTTTGAGAGGGTGCATATGTGCTTTGCATTTTATTTTCTCTGCCTTTTCATCGAAATATCAGAAATATATATTTTTTTTTTTTGTGTGTGTGTGTGGTCCAATGGGATGACCAGATGTATTTCTACACCAGCTGGATTAAGCCCTGCCACTTAGCATACCTCCTCAGGAAGAAATCCTGCTGGAACATACTCAGGTGGTGTCTGAAGTAACTGAACTAGCAGTAGACAACAAAAGACTGTGATCGGAATGTGGTGGGTGGTGGGTGTTGTGATGTGGAGCTGTTGTCCACAGGGAACAGATGTTCATATGGAAGACTCTACCTGGGGACCTAGTGTCTGGCAGATTGACTATGGTCAAAGCTCAAAGGGCAACTTCAACTTCCCCGTACAATTCAAGTGGACAGGCATAGTGTGTCAAGACCTGTGAGGCCTGATGTCACATTGAAGATGCTACTCTGGGAGGCTGAGCTGGATCCCAGTTCCTTCATACCCTGGGCACCCAGTCTAGATGAGATGTCTTCAGTATCACAGGACTCTCCACTGTGGCATTCCAGGAGAATGCTCTCAAACGACAGAGGCTGACTACAAAAGGTCCATCAATTTTCAATTCTCAGTCTTTCACATCTGAGGAGCCTGGAGGAGGAGACTCTACTGATTTTTTCATGGCAGCCATGTGACCTAGGTCCTTTTATTTCCTGGGCATTTTGCTCTCAATTGTAGGATCTCTGACTACAAAGGCAGGTGGTTGATTGTTGCTGAGGGTCATGCCTGACTAGAACAATACTGGACTGGAAAAACAAGGTCAATTCTCTCACCTAAGCAAGGGATGGAGAAAGGATGTGAGGCCATTGTGTGTAAGGAAGAAATGTCCTGATGGAATCTTATGTGATGATCTGGTGCCTGGCAGAGGGACTATGGTCAAGGCTCAAAGGGGACACCTGGAGATCTCCCTGCAGTTCAGGTGAACAGACAAGAAGTATTGAACTCTGACCTACATTATGATAGCACAGTGTGGGGCATCAACCAGTTCTGGACACAAGCATCTGCAGATGAATGTCTGAATGCTTAGTATCTCCTGCTGCAAGTCCAGTCCATGGGACATTGGGTAATCCAAGAGGTCATTTTGATTATAGCGCCACAGGAGTCTCCAGAGGTAACTAACTCCATTCTCAAGAGCAGAGGATACTAGGATAGCCATCCAAATCTTCTGATGATCAGGCAAGAAGCACTCATGGTGTCTTTTAGCCCTACATGCCAAGAAGAAAATAAACTCATTCTCATGGGGCACTCATGCTATTTCCTTTTGCTCCTACCTTCCTCCATGTATTCTATGTCCAATCACCCAGAAGCCATTTCCCTACAACAGTCACGGTAGAACCCTGCTCCAGAGTTTGGGAAACACAGTTGGGATGGGTTTCTGGGCCTCTCTGTCCTCCCATGACTTTATGGACATTTATAATGTGTGCAGTCTCTGGAAGGTCATGTGCCAGCTGGGATTGAGCTGGGGCTTTGCCACCATCTAATGCAGAAGCCCTTGTGCCAATATGTGATCCTGTTCACCAGGCTGTTCTGCTCTTCAAGCCTATGGTATGATTCACCTGTCTCCATACAAACACAGCCCAGCATGCCCTTACTTTGTGCTACTGTTATTATGGTGATGCTATGAGAAGAAGGACTTTGACAGTAGGCAGTGGGATGGGAAGACATCGTGAGGCCCAGCTGTACTTGGGCAGTAGACAGCGAAACCACCAATCCCCTCTTCAGACCTGCTTTCTATACTGGTGAACTGGTACCGAAGCTCTGTCACAGAGAAGGCAACAATTTCTCCCTGAATCTCCTTCAGCCTTCATTCTGAGTCTTCTAGATGGGAAGAACCTGGAGGAGGGTCTCTCCAGATGTGTCAGAGGGCGTCCCTGTGACCTGGGTCACTACATCTCTTGGGATTTTGTTCCAGGTGTGGGCTGTGTGACCGAGCTGGGCTCACAGCTGTAGCCATGCAGCCTGTTCCTCACTTCCTGGCATGTGCCTGCTCCTCGCATGTACCTGCTCCGGTCCCCCTGTAGCATCATGGGAGCCGTTCTTCCTCCACAGCCCCAACCCCATTCTTACCTACAAGGAGTGAGAGAGAAGACTGGGTCTGAGGTTTGAGCCCAGCCTCTGGGCTTCCTTTGTGCCATGATCTGAGCTGTTCTTTTGTCAGTCGACACTCGATGGCCACTGCCATGTGACAGGCCCTCAGGAGGAATCAGATCCCAGGATCGGTCAAGCTGTCTACAGGGAGCTGTCAGAGTCCCGGACAATCAGGAAGACAAAGGTGCTGAGGTAAGTCACATGAAAACAGGTAAACAGAGTCATGGATCTCAGGGTGTCCATGGAAGTACAGAGAGTTGGAGGAGACTGTCTTGTGTGAAGGTCACAGCTGGGCATAGCCTGGGAGGAAAGAAGGGATGAGACAGATGGACTTGAGAGCAGCCTGTGGAAAGCTGCCACCCTGGATGGCGGCATCTGATATCTCTCGGTCATAGTGAAGTGTTCATGGGCACTGAAAACACATTTCTTGCAATGAACTTTTGGTGAAATGGTGTTCTGGAATCCCTCTTGGCTGTCAGGACCTGGGAGTGTTGGCAGTTCCATCAGGGCCAAAGACCTGTGGTATGTGCTGCTCTTTTGCTGGTCATGGGAAATGCAGGTGAGGGGACAGAACAGTGGGAAAGATAAGAGTCTGAAGTCAGCCTGAGAGGGTAACTGTGGTTGACTCCAAGCATTAAGAGGCCATGTTCCTTCTGTGGGACCCCACCATTCTTCACATATAACTGTAGGATTTTCAGAGCCAGTGATCATGCCAGGTAAAACATGTCACTAGTCAGCCCTCCTGGACCTGGGTGATCCCTCAGCTCCTGATGCTGTTTTCTGTCCCAACCAGAAACTCAGTCAACTTGAGGAGACCTGTCACAGTCCACAATTTTTCTTTCTACTCTGAAGAGAAGGCACTGATTGGGGCAGGTGGGATGCATCCCCTAATCCTTTCTGCTCTGACCTGCTGTCACTGTCTTGTTTGTGTATGTTACCAGAAACAGCAGAGCAGTCAACATCATGAGTCACCCTTGAAGGGGAGGTCCCAGGCTGAAGCCACAGTCAACTGTATACCAAGGTCCTTTCCTGTTGGTGGCTGGGCAGTCTGAACACAAAGTCTTGCTGTGTCAGTGAGGGCCGGGCCCTGGGCCTCTCTAACTTCTGCTGTAGTTGCTGTGTCTGATGCTCCTGCTGCTGAAACCTAGGTCATGGGTTTGAAAACTTGAGTTTCCAATCTGAAACCAGGACAGTTCTATGTCAGAGAGGACAATGTCTAGATTTGAAATGGAATAGCAGGTGAGGAATGTGGCAAGGTGCCATGAGACTTTCTCACCTCCATTCCCCACGATATATCCGCCCCAGGCTAAACTGGCATTAGTTCTAGGAATGAATAAACCCCTGGTATACTGACGGTGAGTGAAGGTTCCCTGGATAGATTTCTCATGCACAGACCATTCAGATCCCTTGGGCGGGCCTGTTCCTCTTCATTCTTTATCATCCGGTTGTGTGCACACTCTCACACTCATTGTCACTTTGCACAGCTGCTCACCATTCACTAACATGCTCCCAGCTGTGTTTAACTTGTAGATCCCAGCCTCGTTTTCTACAGAGAAGGTTTAGTGTGGTCAAACCGGGAATCCCACTAAAACATTGCAGTGAGTAGCTGGACTTCCTGATGCCTAGATCCTGCACCAGACAGGCACCTGGATCTACACCAGCTGTTTCTCTCCCCAGCAAACACCTCGTGATCATACACTAGCTTGAAATTCAGCCATCTAGAGTTCCATCTTCAGTTCCCTTGTCTTTTCTGAATGGCCATTGCCTAACCCTAGTGTGGGCCTTCATTAGCCAGGAACATGGAGACAGCCTATAATGATGTCACCTGTGCACTCTCTCTGCTGTGCTCTCCCTTTGAGCACTGTGTCCCCTGTGACTTTCTGTGTGGGCAATTCATCTGTGTTCCCACATCTTCCTTCAGGAAGTCTCTGTTCAGAGTCATGACCTCAGGAAGGGATGGGCTGGCTTATGTTCAAGTACTTAGGACTCCTGTCCTTCTCATCCTATGGTTTTCTATTCTCTCCCTCCTCCCTCGCACCTCCTTTCTGCATGTGGCCACCTTGCAGGCCATGATCTCTCTCTGCAGGACAGGAGGTCACAGGTGCTAAGTCAGACAACCTCATCTGCATCATCACAACCATCTGTAGCAGGAAGGTAAACAGGGTGTGGCCCTCTTTCTTCCCCTGCCTGCCACTGTCCAGAGGGACATAGTTCATTCTTTTTAATGTCTAGACCTAGAAGTCCTCTGAAGATGGGGCTTGGCCAAGGGCCACCTGAGCAGAGGTCCTGTCTTTTCAGGTCTGCCCGTTATTTCTAATGTGAGAAATCTGGGGATCTGTGCTCTTCACATCGGGTGCTTCAAGATACTACACAAGAGAATGAGGGATTGCCTGTCAAATGTGTGCTGCTTCCCTTGGGGTTTCAATCCCAAAAGCCCATCCTATGTTCAACAACAAAGTGGGTCCCCTGGAAGAGGCAGGGTTCAAAGCCCAGTGAGGAATTCGGTACGCAGGTATGAGAGGGGCATATGTGCTTTACATTTTATTTCTTCTGCCTTTTGATCCAAAAAAATAAGAAATGTGTATGCTTGTTTTGTGGGGAACAATGGGGTGTTCAGACATATTTCTACACCAGCTGGATTAAATCCTGCCACTTAGCATACCTCCTCAGGAAGAAATCCTGCTGGAACATACTCAAGTTGTGTGTGATGTAACTGAACTAGCAGAAGACAACAAAAGACTGTGATGGCAGTGAGGTGGGTGGTGTGTGTTGTGATGTGGAGCTGTTGTCCACAGGGAACAGGTTTTCATATAGAAGACTCTGCCTGGGGATCTAGGACCTGGCAGAGTGACTATGGTCAAAGCTCAAAGGGCCACTTCAATGTCCCCCTACAGTTCAACTGGACAGGCAGAGTGTGTCAAGACCTGTGGGGCCTGATGTCACATTGAAGAGGTCAACTGTGGGAGGCTGAGCTGGATCCCAGGTCCTGCATATCCTGGGCACCCAGTCTAGAGGAGATGTCTTCAATATCATAGGACTCTCCACTGTGGCATTCCGGGAGCATGCCCTCAAGTGCAGTGTTTGCTTACAAAACATCCATCCGCTTTCCAATCCTCAGTCTTTCATATCTGAGGAGGCTTGAGAAGGGGACTCTACTGATTTTTTCATGGTAGCCATGTGACATAGATCCTTGCATTTCCTGGGCATTGTGTTCTCAATTGTGGGATCTCTCACCACAAAGGCAGGTGGTTTATTGTTGCTGAGGTTCATGCCTGACTAGAACAAGACTTGACTGGAAAAAGAAGGTCAATTCTCTCACATAAGCAAGAGATGGAGAAGGGATGTGAGGCCATTGTGCACAGGGAAGAAATGTCCAGATGGAATCTTATGTGATAATCTGGTGCCTGACAGAGGGACTACAGTCAAGGCTCAAAGGGGGACACCTCGAGATCTCCCTGCAGTTCACATGGACAGATAAGAATGAACTTGACCTATATTCTGATAGCACGGTGTGGGGCATCAGCCAGGTCTGGACACTAGCATATGCAGATTAAAGTCTGGATGGTTAATATCTCCTGCTGCATGTCCAGTCCATGGGACACTGGGCAACTCAAAAGTTCATTGTGATTGCAGTGCCACAGGAGTCTCCAGAGGGAACTAACTCCATTCTCAAGAGCAGAGGATACTGGGATAGCCATCCAAAGCATCTGATGATCAGGCAAGAAGCACTGAGGGTGTCTTTAGCTCTACATGCCAAGAAGAAAATAAACTCATTCTCATGGGGCACTCATGCTGGCCCTTTTTCTCCTACCTTCCTCCATGTATTCTATGTCAATCACCCAGAAGACATTTCCTTCCAACAGTCACAGTAGAACCTTGCTCCAGATTTTGGGAAACTCAGTTGGGATGGGTTTCTGGGCCTCTCAGTCCTCCCATGACTTTATGGACATTTATAATGTGTGCAGTCTCTGGAAGGTCATGTTTCAGCTGGGATTGAGCTGGGACTTTGCCACCATCTAATGCAGAAGCCCTTGTGCCAATATGTGATCCTGTTGACAAGGCTGTTCTGCTCTTCAAGCCAATGGAATGATTCACCTGTCTCCATATAAACACAGCCCAGCATGCCCTTACTTTGTGCTACTGTTATTATGGTGATGCTACGAGAAAAATGACTTTGACAGTATGAAGTGGATGGGAAGACTTTGTGAGGCCCAGCTGTACCTGGGAAGTAGACAGCGAAACCACCGATCCCCCTTCAGAACTGCTTTCTATTTGGTGAACTGGTACAGAAGCTCTGTCACAGAGAAGGCAACAGTTTCTCCCCGAATCACCTTCAGCCTTCATTCTGAGTCTTCTAGATGGGAAGAACCTGGAGGAGGGTCTCTCCAGATGTGTCAGAGGGCGTCCCTGTGACCTGGGTCACTGCATCTCTTGGGATTTTGTTCCAGGTGTGGGATATCTGACAGAGCTGGGCTCACAGTTCTAGCCACGCAGCATGTTCCTCACTTCCTGGCATGTGCCTGCTCCAGTTCCCCTGTAGTACCATGGGAGCTGTTCTTCCTCCACAGCCCTGACCCCGTTCTTACCGACAAGGAATGAGGGAGAAGACTGAGTCTGAGTTTTGAGCCCAGCTTCTGGGCTTCCTTTGTGCCATGATCTGAGCTGTTCTTTTGTCAGTTTTCATTGGATGGACACGGCTATATGACAGGCCCTCAGGAGAGATCAGATCCCAGGTTCAGTTAAGTTGTCTACAGGGAGCTGGCAGAGTCCAGGACAATCAGGAAGAGAAAGGTGCTGAGGTAAGTCACATGAAAACAGGTAAACAGAGTCACGGATCTCAGGGTGTCCATGGAAGTACAGAGAGTTGGAAGAGCCTGTCTTGTGTGAAGGTCACAGCTGGGCATAGCCTGGGAGGAAAGAAGGGATGAGACAGATGGACTTGAGAGCAGCCCTGTGGCATGCTCCAGCCTAGATGGCAGCATCTGATGTCTCTCTGTCATAGTGAAGTGTTTACGGGCACTGAATACACATTTCTTACAATTGAACTTTTGATGAAATGGTGTTCTGGAATCTGTGTTGGCTCACAGGACCTGGGAGTGTTGGCAGTTCCAACAGGGCCAAAGACCTGTAGCATGTGCTACTGTTTTGCTGGTCATGGGAAATGCAGGTGAGGGGACAGAACAGTGGGAAAGATAAGAGCCTGATATCAGCCTGAGAGGGTAACTGTGGTGGACTCCCAGCATTAAGAGGCCATGTTCCTTCTGTGGGACCCCATCATTCCTTCACATATAACTGTAGGATTTTCAGAGCCAGTGATCATTCCAGGTAAAACATGTCACCAGGCAGCCCTCCTGGACCTGGGTGATCCCTCAGCTCCTGATGCTGTTTTCTGTCCCAACCAGAAACTCAGTCAACTTGAGGAGACCTGTCACAGTCCAGGATTTTTCTTTCTACTCTGAAATGAAGGCACTGATTGGGGCAGGTTGGATGCATCCCCTAATCCTTTCTGCTCTGACCTGCTGTCACTGTCCTCTTTGTGGATGTCACCAGAAACAGCAGCGAAGTCAACATCATGAGTCACCCTTGAAGGGGATGTCCCAGGCTGAAGCCACAGTCAACTGTGCACCAAGGTCCTTTCCTATTGGTGGCTGGGCAGTCTGAACACAATCTCTTGCTCTGTCAGTGAGGGCCCATTCCCTGGGCCTCTCTAACTTCTGCTGTAGTTGCTGTGTCTGATGCTCCTGCTGAAAAACCTAGGTCAAGGGTTTGAAAATTTGAGTTTCCAACATCAAACCAGGACAGTTCTATGTCAGAGAGGACAATGTCTAGATTTCAAATGTCAGACCAGGTGAGGAATGTAGCAAGGTGCCATGAGGCTTTCTCACCTCCATTCCCCACCATATATCCGCCCCAGTCTAAACTGGCATTAGTTCTAGGAATGAGTAAACCCCTGGTGTACTGATCGGGATTGAAGGATCCCTGGGTGGATCTCTCATGCAGAGAACATTCAGATCCCTCTGGACAGGCCTGTTCCTCTTCATTCCTTGAACATCTGGTTGTGTGGACACTCTCACACGTTGTCACTTTGCACAGCAGCTCACCATTCACTAACATGCTCCCAGCTGTGTTTAACTTGTAGATCCCAGCCTCCTTTTCTGCAGGGAAGGTTTAGTGTGGTCAAACAGGGAATCCCACTAAAACAATGCAGTGAGCAGCTGGACTTCCCTGATACCTAGATCCTGCACCAGACAGGCACCTGGATCTACACCAGCTCTTTCTCTCCCCAGCAAAGACCTTGTGATCATTCACTAGCTTGTTAATTCAGCCATCTCAAGTTCCATCTTCAGTTCCCTTGTGTTTTTTGAATGGCCATTGCCTAACCCTAGTGTGGGCCTTCAATAGCGAGGATCATGGGGACAGCCTATAATGATGTCACCTGTGCACTCTCTTTGCTGTGCTCTCCTCTGAGCCCTGTGACTCTCTGTGTGGCAATTCATCTGTGTTCCCACATCTTCCTTCAGGAAGTCTCTGTCCAGTGTCAGGGCCTCAGGAAGGGTTGTGCTGGCTTATGTTCAAGTACTTGCTACTCCTGTCCTTCTCATTCTATAGTTTTCTATCCTCTTCCTCCTCCCTTTCAACTCCTTTCTGCATGTGGCTTCCTTGTAGGCCATCATCTCTGTCTGCAGGACAGGAGGTCACAATTGATAAGTCAGACAACCTCATCTGCATCATCACAACCATCTGTAGCAGGGAGGTAAACTCGGTCTGGCCCTCTTTCTTGCCCTTCCTGCCACTGTCCAGAGTGACATAGTTCATTCTTTTCAACGCCTAGAATTCCTCTGAAGATGGGGCTTGCCCAAGGGCCACCTGAGCAGAGGTCCTGTCTTTTCAGGTCCACCCGTTATTCCTAATGTGAGAAATCTGGGCATCTGTGCTCTTCCCATCATCGGGTGCTTCAAGAGACTACACAAGAGAATCAGGGATTGCCTGTTAAGTGTGTGCTGCTTCCCTTGGGGTTTCAATCACAAAAGCCTATCCTATGTTCAACAACAAAGCAGCTCCCCTGAAAGAGGCAGGAGGCAGAGCCCAGTGAGGAACTGGGCACGCAGGTATGGGAGGAGGCATATGTGATTTGCACTTTATTTTCTCTTCCTTTGCATCTGGAAAATAAGAAATGTGTATGGTTATTTTGTGGGGATCAATGGGATGTTCAGATGTATTTCTACACTAGCTGTATTAAACCCTGCCATTTAGCATACTTCCTCAGGAAGTAATCCTGCTGGAACATACTCAGGTAGTGTCCAATGTAACTAAACTAGCAGTAGACAACAAAACACTGTGATTGGAGTGGGGTGGGTGGGTATTGGGAAATTATTAAGGCCATTCCACATAGTTAAAAGGAAGATTTATTTAGTGGGTAACTTACAAATTAAGGGATAGGTAGGTCGCAGGGTCTGGGGAAGGTTATTGCAGTCCAGCGTTGTTCTCTTGAGCTCTGCTTGGTTAACCTCCACTGTTTTGGGTCCAGGAAGAGAGAGAGCACTGGCCCCTCTCGATCTTGGGTCTCCAGGGTTTTCCCTTGTCCCTGCCTTGTAGGCGTGACAGTTGCCGAAGCCTCAATGGGGGTTGGAACTTCCAGATCAAAGCTGGAATGGCTACACACTACAGGTGGGAAGTGTTGTGATGTGGAACTGTTGTCCACAGGGAACAGATGTTCATATAGAAGACTCTGCTTGGGGATCTAGGGCCTGGCAGAGTGACTATGGTCAAAGCTCAAAGGGCCACTTCAATGTCCCCCTACCGTTCAACTGGACAGACAGAGTGTGTCAAGACCTGTGGGGCCTGATGTCACATTGAAGAGGCCAACTGTGGGAGGCTGAACTGGATCCCAGTTTCTGCATACCATCCGCTCCCACCGGTCTAGAAGAGATGTCTGCAATATCACAGGACTCCCCACCATGGCATCTAGGAACTCTCCCTCAAAAGGAAGTGGTTGCTTACAAAACATCCATCAATTTCCAATCCTCAGTCTTTCACATCTAAGGTGCCTGGGGAGGGGACTCTACTAATTTTTCACGGCAGCCATGTGACCTATGTCTTTGTATTTCCTGGGCATTGTGTTCTCTATTATGGGAACTCTGATTACAAAGGCAGGTTGTTCATTGTTGCTGAGGCTCATGCCTGACTAGAACAAGACTCGACTGGAATAGGATCAATTGTCCAGATGGAATCTAATGTGATGATCTGGTGCCTGACAGAGGGATATGGAAAAGGCTCAAAGGGGACATCTCAAGATCTCCCTGCAGTTTACATGGACAGACAAGAAATACGGAGCTCTGACCTGTATTCTGATAGCACAGTGTGGGGCATCAGCCAGGTCTTGTCACAAGCATCTGCAGATGAAAGTCTGGATAGTCAGTGTCTCCTGCTGCATGTCCAGTCCATGGGACACTGGGCAACCCAAGAAGTCAATGTGATTGCAGTGCCACAGGTGTCTCCATGGGGAACTAACTCCATTCTCAAGAGCAGAGGACACTGGGATAGCCATCCAAAGCATCTGATTATCAGGTGAGAAGTGCTGAGTGTGTCTTCAAGCCCTACAAGCAAAGAAGAAAATGAACTCATTTTCATGGGGCACTAATGCTGGCCCTTTCCAACCCCCAATTCCATGTACTCTAGGTCCAATTACCCAGTTGATATTACCTTACAACAATCACAGTAGAACCATGCTCCAGATTATAAGAAAGATTTTTGGGACAGGGTTCTGGACCTTTCTGTCCTTCCATGTCTGTATGGACATTTAGAATGTGTGCAGTATCTGGAAGGTCCTGTGCCAGCTGTAGGCTGGGCTGAGCTGGGGCTTTGCCACCATCTAATGCAGAAGCCCTTGTACCAATATGTGATCCTGTTGACAAGGCTCTTCTGCCTTTCAAGCCGACAGGCTGATTCACCTGTCTCCATATAAACACAGCCCAGCATGCCCTTACCTGGTGATACTGTCACTATGGTGACACTAAGACAAGAAGAACTTTGACAGTAGGAAGTGGGGTGGGAAGATGTTGTGAAGCCCAGCTGTACCTGGGAAGTATACAGCGAAACCACCGATCCCCCTTCAGACCTGCTTTCTATACTGGTGTCCTTGTACAGAAGCTCTGTCACAGAGAAGGCAACAATTTCTCCCTGAATCTCCTTCAGCCTTCTTTCTGAGTCTTCTAGATGGGAAGAACCTGGAGTAGGGTCTCTCCAGATGTGTCAGAGGGTGGCCCTGTGACCCGGGTCACTGCATCTCTTGGGACTTTGTTCCAGGTGTGGGATGTCTGACAGAGCTGGGCTCACAGCTCTAGGTATGCAGCCTGTTCCTCACTTCCCGGCATGTGCCTGCTCTAGTCTCCCTGTGGCATCATGGGAGTGGTTCTTCCTCCACAGCCCTGACCCCATTCTTACCTACAAGGAGTGAGAGCGAAGACTGGGTCTGAGGTTTGAGCCCAGCTTCTGGGCTGCCTTTGTACCATGATCTGAGCTGTTCTTTTGTCAGTTGTCATTGGATGGACACGGCCATGTGACAGGTGCTCAGGAGGGATCAGATCCCAGGATCGGGAGTCTGGTGTTCAAGCCAACACAGGGAACTGGCAGAGGCCAGGACAATCAGAAAGACAAAGGTGCTGAGGTAAGTCCACATGAAAAGAGGTAAACAGAGTCACGGACCTCAGAGGGTGCATGAAAATACAGGGGTTCGAGGAGCCTGTCTTGTGTGAAGGTCACAGCTGGGTAGGGTTCGGGAGGAAAGAAGGAATGAGAAGAGGGACTTGAGAGGAGCCATGTGTCACCTGAGTAGAGGTCCTGTCTTTTCAGGCCTACATGTTGTTCCTACATTTGAGAAATCTGGGGATCTGTGCCTGTCATCTGGAAGCTGCTGATGACTTCTCTCAGTGGATCGCTAGTGTGAGAGCAGCATGGAGATCCTCCCAGGCTTTCTTCTCTTTATAACTGCTCCTCCTTGGACGGTCGATGGTGGAGCAATGCTCAGAGCTTCTTAGAGCGTTCCTTTGCTGTCATCTGGCATGTGCCATGCACTGACAGAGATTCCCTCACCACCTTGCTGGAACTCTACAGAGGATTCTTACACTGTACTTGGAAATCTGAGAATTGGAGGGATTCAGGCAGTGTGCCCCGGGTCCCTCAGAATGAGTGGGGAGCCAGAGCTCGATGATATTGTCAGACAGAGAGAACCATCAGACATCTGCCACCTGTTTTCCCTGAGTGGTCAGTGTGATTATCTGGAACAAGACTGCTCAGGTTCATTTCCACTGGGATGATTTTGACTTACACTTCCGGGTTGTAGTCCATTACACAGGGAAGTCAGGGCACAAACACATAGCGGCTAGTCATATCATAGCCACAGTGAAGAGCAGACAGAAATACATGCACACAATTGAGCTTGCTTGCTTGTGTCCACTAGAGATCCCAACTCCTGTGCAGACTGGGACCCAAGCCCAGGGAATGGCCCTGCCCTGAAGAGTTGGTTCTGCCCATATGAATTAAGACAATCCAATAGCTCCTCTATAGTCACGCTCACAGGTGAACTTCTGGAAGAGTATTCCTCAGTGTCCCAGGTCACTCTGTGCTACTCAAGTTGACAGTTCAAACCAAGTAGCACAATTGCTCCCAGTGCTCACCACAGCTCCCAGCATTGAAAACTGTCAGCTCCATGAGCAGAGGCTTCAGCCTCTTTGCTTTTCCTGGGTTCCAAGCTGACACCCAGCTGCACATCCTCCCTTGCCCTCTCAGCTTCTTCCCCAAGATAACTGACCTTGTCTATACTCAGCAGACATCACTGGGATGTTTCCACTGTGTCCCGGCCTAATGCTTCCTGGACATAGGTTATTTCTCAGAAGGCCATGCTGCCTTCAGGCCGAATCTTTGCTCTCTTTCCAGGCTATTCTCAAGTTGTGACACCCTTCCTTCCATGAACGGGTAGCGACTTTCAGTCCTTGTTCCTACTAGTAGCCTAGGCTTGAGCAGAGTCAGTCGATTTCAGCTCCATCATGGTATGTATGTTGCTTGCAAACCTTACCCTTTTTTAGACAGATGGTCTATCTCTGAGAACCTAGGACACCTTGTCAAGCATTTAAAATTATTCACATTTTGTCTCACTCACTTTCTTGCCTATTTCTTTATTTCCTCCTCTCACCCTATCTCCTCTCATTTCCTCGTGTGTGTGTGTGTGTGTGTGTGTGTGTGTGTGTGTGTGTGTGTGTGGTACCTATGTGCTGTGCCTAGCATCTGGAGGTTCCAGGATAACACTGTGAAGTCATTCTCCAAACCCCTTTGAAGGGCACAGGGATTGAACTCTGTTGCTTACTCCTCCATATGTTTTTGCAGGTGGGGAACCTAATGGACATGAAGCAGTGTCAGAACTTGCTGGAGAAGTCTGTGACTGCTCTGTGGGAGTGGGAACCAAGACATTGGCCAACGCATGCGCTGTACTCCTTCTTTGGATGCCAGTCGGAACAAGGAGATCTCTGTCCCTCAGAATTGCCTTGGTTGTTGATTTAGAAAACCACCAACATCTTAGCCTAGTTCTCTGGCTTTAGATCTTATTGAATCTTAGCATTCTAGATGATTTACCCCTGTTCTTTATGTCCAGTTTACTTTACCATACTTTATGTGGCTGTAATAGTATGTATTGTTTTAGGACATGGCTACCCCCATTGGCATGCTCAGAGCCTTTGCCCAGGGGTGCTGTTATTTACCTGTGAGAAGAGCAAGCCAGGAACTTGTATCCTTACTCAGGGATGAGAACAAACTAAATCTCAGAGCATGACCTTCCACAGCGTGGTCCCTGATCCTGGAAGCTCCTGGCTCCACTGTTCAAGCGTCTTTGTCTAGTCTGTGTTGGGACCTTTTCCATCCCTTACTTGGTAGCATCCACAGACCCTTCTGTAGAAACTGGAGTCCAGAAAGCCCAGGGCAGGGTTTCCAGCAGGACCTTGACCCATGTTGGTTCTCCTGGCTTCCATCCCTGCCTTCACCAATCAATATTCTCATGTCTGTCCTTAGAGTTGGTCTGCTCCCGTGCCCTGCATCAGTGAGGAGGTTGGGAGCAAGTGTCAAGTGAATGAAATACAGGCTCTGGATTCATTCAGAAAACCTGAGCCACACCCCTGAGGCGTTGAGAAGCTGAAAACCTGTTCAAGAACAAATATTCTCTGAGGCCATGAAGACAAGGTAGAGAGTGGGTGCCCCAAGGAAGCGGGTCAGAGGTCTCCCTCCCTGCATTATTCAAAACCATCCAAGAATCAACAATATAATGTGAGAGAAAAGAGCCTACAAGCTGCATGAATTCAGCCAAGTCCTGCAATGCCCAAGGTCCACTGTACTTTGCCAAGTGAGAGGCCATCTCCACAGGCTTTACCATGCAGAGACCGGTTGGACAGGCATTCATATGCGGATCAGAGACTAGGCTGCATGGCTCCCTACACTGAACACTGTGCCTGTGTCTGAGACCGAGTTAAGGTGCTCTGTGTCCTTGTGAGAAAAGGAAAACAAGGCTGAATAAGGCCTCTCCTGAGGGTGAATACCTCGGCCACACCAACCAGTCAAGGCTCACAGGAAAGAGCTGGTTTTTAGCTCTACTGGACATCTCCCATCCTGACTTTCTTTTCAGACCAGGCTCCCCATCAGACATACCCATTTTAGTCATTCTCACGGCTACCACCTTGACACACAGTCCAGACCTCAGTCACCTTTCATACACCTCTCCCTCTGTGTGACCCATCCAGACAGTTGCCACATCCAGTTTTCCTAACACAGCTCTAGAGTGACCCAGGTCTCACCACACAGCTATGTGGCAGGCTTGGCTCTGCAGCCTGGCAGCCATTCTTTTCTCTCCCTTACACTTTCTTAGGAAGTCAGACCTAGGGAATGTTAGCCCAGGATGACCCTCCCCTTGTAAGTCTTCACAGCATCCAGTACCATGTCCTTGGCATTTGGAGGTGAGCTCAGGCACCAACTCCACCTATTCATTGCACACAGCAGCTAAACGACATCCTTTATAATAAACTCATAACATTTCACCTAACCACTTATAAGAACAGGTTTTCAGCCCATAAATTCCCTTTCTGACTTATTCCAGGCCTTATCTGGCCCCACCTCCTCTATTCACTCCCCTTTTGGTTAAGAAATGAAGATGGCTGTCACAGCTCCATGTGCTTAGATTCATTCCGTCGGATTAGCCCCAAGGTTCCCCATTTGTAGAGTCTTCTCCAGGCCTATGGGAGAAATCTCCTCAGGGCAGGACCCCAAGGAAATTTTGATATTTGGTGACACATTATGTCCTTTTGGGAAGCAGAGTAAAGGAGTGAGAGAAACTGGTCACATGGTGTCCACAGTCAGGAATCCCAGACAGCTGATGTTGATGCTCTTGTTGGTTTCTCCATTATTTATTTATTTATTTATTTATTTATTTATTTATTTATTTATTTATTTATTTATTTATTTATTTATTTTTTACAGCTGGTGATGCAGCCTACGGAAATGTTCTACACAAAGCATTCAGGATGGGTCTTAATACCTCAGAGACACCTCTCCAGAAACACCCGCAGATATGTGCCCGGATTTCTGCCTCTTAAGAAAACCTAGTTCCTGCCACACTACCTAGAATCCAGTCTCAACCTCAGATATCATTATTGTGGGTACTGCTCTGCAAGGGCCTTCACATTCACGCTGTATTGGCTAGGTCTCCAGGAAGAGGTGGATCTCTCTTTCTTGGCTGCTGCCTCTTCCTCACGCCAGGGGACCTCTTTTCTTCAGCCACGTGAGAAGTGGCCAATACCACACACCTACCACGGCATGGGCTGCAATACCAGGAGAATCATTAGACTCTAAATGTGAATACTTTTAGAGTCCATCTGAGTGATACCAGGACATTTTTGGCTTTGGAGAAATATCCCTCGCTCTGCAATATTGACCCCAACTCACCTCTTTTTGGAACCCAGAAAAAATGCTCAACTCCCTCAGACATTCTGTCTCATTGCTGAGACCACCAGGGCAGGAGGACAGCCCATGGTCTGCTGAGCCATCTGCATCTGGCAAGGCCACCCTTTCTCTACTAAATAAAGGGCACTGTTCACATGGGCTGAGGCTTGGAGTCGCCATTGTTTAGTGTGTGTGTTTTCTCAGTTCTAACAAAGGCAGGCAAAGTACTCTGGGGTGGTGCAGTAGGTAAGGTTGTCACGTGAGACAGTGGAGCTGGCACACGGTGTACACAGTCCAAGGACATCAAAAGAGGTGAGGCAAGATGAAGGGCAGTTGTCCAGCCACTCGGCCCTCTGTGGACAACAGGAATTTTAGAGGTCTGCTTCCCCAGGAGCCTCTTGGGGCTGTTTCTGCTGGAGTGGATGAGGAAGGCCCTGTCCTGCCTAGGGTGCTGGTCTACAATTAACATAACATCATTGTTGGCCACATTATGCACATTGGATCATAGATTCAAATGTTTGGACATAACTGGTCATGGTTATCAGTGAAGCTTCCTAAATCCATTTGCTTTCTTTGAATTCAGACAGGGAAAATTAGAACTGTACCTGTCCTAGGGACCCTAGAGTCAATCAAAGGAAAACATCTCACTTGAAGGAGCCCAGATTCCCAAAAGTAGAATGGTTGTTTTGGGGTTGCTCATCTAGGAATTTCATTATGGAGAGGAGACTTAGCTATCAAGACTGTGAAGAACTCTTAACATGGGGGATTCTTTTCATAGGGCTTTCATTCCTGTCCTTGGTAGATCCCTCCATTAGTGAGCCAATCATAGATAGATTCCAGGAGTTTAATCTGCAACCTGGGGTGAGGCCCAGATTGTGTCAGAGAAGAACAGTTGAATAAAGGGCATCTCTTACTAACTTCCTTCCTTCCTGTACACAGGGCATCTCTCACCAACTCCCTTCCTTCCTGTACACAGGGCATCTCTCACTAATTTCCTGCTTTTTTCCCTGAACACAAAGACCAACTGCAAGATAAATTCTCTGGGGGGACAAGATATCTCAGACTCAACATTTCTTAAGGAATCATCTGATTAGGGCTGGTTGAAGTAGAAGTTGGGATCCTTCTGTCTAAGTGCTTAGTGGTACAATTTTCCAGTTCTTTAGAATGGGAGATAAGGGTATGTCTGGGTGGATCTTGGAGATACCTGTGTTCAGAGATAGGGGAATTCACTGAACTCTATAAGTTCTTTCCAGTTCCTAAGCACCCAACATATCAAACTAGGAGAGTTTCAAGATGAGAAGATGAATAATTGAAAAGCATTAAAATAGGAGGAAGAGGTGGGATGTAACCAATAAATGGTCAATGTTGCCATACATTAAAAGTTATGTGGTGTTGTAGAATATTTGTTTAGGATGTGTTACTTCCATTTATGCTGTGGAATGTTTGTTTAAGAATGCAATGATGTGTTCTTTGATGTTGCATTTGTTCAACTCTGTAAAGCTGTGTTACTTTGCCTGCCTAAAATAACTGGTTGGTCTAATAAAGACCTGAACGGCCAGTAGCAAGGCAAGGGAAAGGATAGGAGGGGCTGACATGCAGAGATAATAAATAGGAGGAGAAATCTAGGATCAAGAGAAGGGACAAAGGGGAAAAAAAGAAGAAGAGGATGCCAGGGGCCAGCCATGGAATAAGAAGGAAAGAAAGATACATAGAATAAAGAAAAGTAAAAAGCCCAGAAACAAGAGGTAGTTAAAGAGAAATGGGATAACTGATGTTAGAAAAGCTGGCGAAGAAACAACCCAGGCTAAGGCCAGGCATTCATAAATAATAGTAAGTCTCTGTGTATTTATCTGGGATCTGAGTGGTGGGCTCCCAAAGAGGTTTTTTATTTTTTGTTTTGTTTTAAAGAAACATCTACAATATGGTTGTTTTTATTGTCCTATTTAATCTGTCACCAACACTACCTCAGCATATAGGTGTTGGACACTGATGCTACAGAAGTTAAGAGACTGCTGGCTGGGGACACAGCTCACTGGTAGAGCCCTTGCTTAGCAGCAGCCCTGAGCTTACT